ATGAAGACAGAACTAAACCACCCTATTATTTTGAGAATGGCCTTCCTCTGGCCAACTCATCAGCACATGGCATCAAAGCTGCCCTTTCTAACTTCACTTTCTTCAGCCCCTGGGGCCAGGAGCTCAGCCTGGGAGCAAGGCCAAGGCCACGGGCCCCGCAGAAGCTGCCAGCAGACAACAGGTGTGCTCCATCAACACCGCATGGGACATCCAGGGGTGAGGGTCCCTACCAGCCTCCCTTCCCTTGCGTCTGGGAGCAGGTGAGCTCTCTGCAGAAGGAATGTGGAGCCTCCCTTCCCTTGCGTCTGGGAGCAGGTGAGCTCTCTGCAGAAGGCCCAATGCCTGCCACTGTGAAAGTCCTGTGCTGTTTTACAAGGACTGAGACCTAGAAATCCCTGCAGATGTGTGAACTTGTTGTTGTAAAGGGGGTGCAATGGCCCGTAGAGGCAGAATCACAGGACTGAACACCAGGGGATATTTCCTCTGTTCTGCAAAGGAAATTCTTGCCTTTTCCTGCCCCCAGTCCCGAGGTGCGTGCACCAACCTTGAGATGACTAACTGACCACATCAAAACAAAACAGCCCCAACACTCTAAATGCCTGACATGCTTTTATGAAGCTCCTTTTTGGCTGAGGTCATTGTCTTTTCAAAGATCTTCTCTTTCCTTGTGCCCAATTCAAATGATGGGACTGGTGGCCTACTTCCAGCAGCCACGTGGGGTGCAGGTACCACCACTTCCTAAAGCATGCCAGAGTATTTCCTTAAGAACAGCCTAGAGCACGGATTCTTATGTTTTAATCCGTAACAACAGATTTGGACTTTTATTTATGTTTCTGAAGTCAAGAGAAGTTAAAAAAAACAATCACCTTGATTTGGATCATCAGCATCCAATTATTAATGTGTCTTCTTTGTGAGAATCATGCTTGTAGTGGATTGAATTATGTCCCTCCAAAACTCAATGAAGCTTAAATTGTGTCCCCCAAGTTTTATGTATTAGGAGCTTAGTGTCCCCACTGTGACTGTTAAGAGAGTGGGAAATCCTATTCTGTTAACTGAAGGGTGGAGCCGTAAAGAGGTGATTGGACTGGAGGACCATCTAGTAGTGAATAGATTAAAAATGTTGGTCAAGGGCATGGTTCTAAGGGCTTTAAAAGAAGAGGA